TGGCTGGCTCAGCTTGGAATGGGCATGATTTTGCTTTCTTTCATCAAGTAATGGTCTCTTATTCTATTTATTAGGGGTCGAAACGTCTTCGTTGTCAAGCCTCTGTTCTTGAATAAGGTCCAATATGTGCTTGACTAGACCCAAAGTTTTCGTTCTTTCCTCCTTGCATGAGCTCAGAATGTCTGCAAATGCACCAAGCGTCGATGATGCGAAAACATTTTGAGTTCGATTCTTGTTTGCATTCGACTTTGACCTTACGAACCATTTGGTGGGGACTTCGCCTCCATCGATCGTAGTCAATTCTTTTATCGCCACCTCTTGAATATCGCTTGGAAAAACCTTAAAAAACTTTGATCATGTATAGGTGCCAACGACGAACCAAGAAGTGAATGCGAGAGGAGAATAAAGTTTTGATTCTTACGCCATGACCATTGGCCATGACCATTGGCCATGACCATTAAAAGCATTATCCTATTGAAGCTTGAAAAATTGATCTGCTTATTTTCATCGAAAGCAGTTGAAAGCAACCTTCTTCATGCGACCGCGAACCAGAATGATGTGACGGACGTTGTTGTCATTGTGTTGTCAGTTGATCATCTACAAAACAAGAAGAGTTAACTTACAAACTAAATTTGATTGTTTAAACAATCACAACAACATTATGGTACCATCTCTTCTTCGTCTTCCTTGAAGCGACTTTTGTAAAAAAAAAAAGTAAAAAATTCTTGGACCTTGTGCCTTTAAATAATCTAGCACACCAGATGTCATTTTCTCCATTGCATTACCTCTACTCATTGAACGGTACAACTTAATCCTTAAAAAAGTCAACAAATAAAATGAAGTAAGAAAGAATTTAAAACAATCCTTACATAGCTGCTGAGATGGGCGTTATGCAGCAAAGGCATGTTTTCTTTCAGCTGGATTTGCAATTGCTCGGCCGTGTATGCTAGTAAGACGCCAATGGTTCTCGCCCTTCCTTCATACTTCATTTCGGTCCACGCTCCTCCTCTAGGGATACATGATTCCTTTTTTCTTAAAAGCAAGCTCTTTAAAAATCATCCCGCCTGCAGTGTTTGCTTGATTTCGCGGGTCAAGATAATTCATCTAACCGTTTTCTTCGTCCGACGAAGAGCTTGACATGTTCTCCTCCATGACCTAATAGGAATGACGATGTCCCCGACAAGACATACGTATCATATCACTCGTGGGTCAAGTTATGAAAGTCTCTTTGTTCAAAAATTACTTAATAAAGATTACTAATCAGTTGAGGYTATTGGGAATGGAAATTTTGTAGGTGTCACAAATTTGACTAGGAATACCATTGACAATAACGATTGCATGTAAAATAGTTATTCCTGAACAGCAAGAAATATTACAAATCAATCGAAAACACATAACTAAAGTTGTCCAAAATGATAGTGTTTAAAGCTTTAGGAACATTTTAAAAACATTTTAAGAACATTTAGAAACATTTTGTGCACGATATTTTACCGAATTTTAAGCAGTCGAGTCCATTGATAAGATATATTTCAGCTATTTCGAGGTGGCTATTTCACCGATTTAAAGTAAGTCAAATATTGACGATATCATCTTAATTTTCTACTGAAAGTGTTCGTTTTTATAAATCAAATATTGAGGATATATCATTGATTTTCTACTGAATGTATTTGCTTTTATATATTTCATGGCATTTCTTAAACCGCGAACATTACGCCATTTTGTTTTTTCGCAAAAACTAAAAGGAGACCASAGGTAGCCCAAGCCGACACAACTGAATTTGATGCAGTTCATTTCTTATAGGTAAGAATARAATTTAAAATTTACAGAAATTATATGTTCACAACTAATACAACTGTTTGGAAAATGAAAAAATGTGTTTGTAAAAAATYGAACTATTTACAAGAACTATTGTGCTAGGGAGATAATGCAATCTAATGTCCTCGACCATACAGGTGAGCACACGCCTTCAGCAACTGAAAAACGTTTTTTCTTTGTCCAGAGTACTCTTCCCACTGGCCAATGAGTTTTCCCTGTAGGTCACGGTACTGTTTCCTTTGGATTCTTTTCGATTTTTGCTCGGTAACCAGGCGCATTTGAAGGTGGACTAATTCTGATTCTTTCTTTAGAAATTCTATTAACATATGAAAAGGAAAATGCACCTTTCCTTGTGCTCTACGGTTCAGGCCATTGTGCCAACCTTCRACATCGTTGTTTGTTCGTATGGCCTGACCGTAGACGCTCCATTCTTCTGGGGGGAAGGTACTGTCTATCCACTGGTCACGGATATATCGGGTAAGATTGCACAGAGCCCTGGTTGTGGCTTGTYGTTCAAGGTACAAGAAAACCGTTCTAATTTCTTCATGTGGTATGAATGGCAGGGCCAACAGGTTCCTGATGAAGGCATGTGTACCTTGATCTTCTTGGTAAGCTATACTCAGGCCAAGCTCTTGCACCTGTTGGAAAAAAGGGAAAATGGTCAATCATTCTCAAAACAAAAAGTCATTTTATATGGGAAATTATTTATTGTCGACTGGTATYTGTTGACTTATGTCTTTTTTTTATCTTGACATGATTAATTTAGTCAGGTGTGTAAAGTCATTATTTAGWGGTTATTGCATACTTACTTTACGCCAAACTGCCGGACTCCAATGGAATACACAACCCATTCTGGCAACACTATCTCCAAGAACTGCCCTCACAGCTCCCCAAAGGGCTTGTTCGAAGTCGAGCACTACTTTAGACACTTGTGGCTGGCATTGTAAAAGGTCTACAATCTTCTGCAGAACCTAAATGGAAAATCATTGGGTAATTATATTTTAGTCCCAGCTAGCTGCCAGCTCAGAAGGAAAAATATAAAATGAATTACCTCCTGGTAGTCATTCCTTGTTCTTCCAGACATAACCAGGAAGACAAGGGGAACTTGCTTGACACACTCCATTTACCTACACCCTTTAACTCATAGATTTTTTAGCACTATTCTTATTAATATCTCGTGTATTTATGGATCAATATGCGAGTCCGTGCCGCGCAAAATTCTTCCAGGTGGTTTCCAAGTCAGAAACATTAAATATAAACAACAGAAACAATGAAATAACTACAGGTAGTTCACAATATCTTTTTCAATGTTGATGGCTTCGTCGCTTAACAGTTTTCAAAATCTAAACATGAATTGCATTATATGTATTTATACTGTAGTAGTTCAGTCGAGGAAATAAGGGTGCGTGACGCTTCGTATCATCAGTCTAGAGTTATTTCTGGAGTCTCAGAGGAGGGCCGAAGCCTATCCCAGAATGCATAGCGGTGTCAATTTTCCAAGATGGCGGCCAGTTTCGCTTGGATTCCGATGCAGGACAAAGAATCCTCTTTATGTCGAAGAAAATAAGGTAATTTCTTTTTATACCTAGTCCAATTTCATAATCATAGTAAGTTTATTAAGTTCCTGTAAAATATGGAACGTTTTTGCTGCAAAAACGGCATTTATTTTGCTGTTTGTTGTGTGRTTCACGCGACAGCGCAGTTTCTTGTTACCTGAAATTTACATAATTTTAGTAGCTGTTTTCTTATAAACATTCAGGTCAATTTTTATCCTGATACCGTATGCTTATAGTTTAATATCTAAATTTTCTAAAAATATAAATGTGACCCATGTTTTAAGCACTATATTTTCATTTTTGTGGTGTGATTTTATGTTATTTGGCGCCAAAATGAGTTGGTTGCCAATACGACACTAAGCATTTCTCGCATGTGGCAGCCTTCGCAAAGGTACTATTGACATCAAAGGTATAGTATTATTACTAGCTCTTTTTGGTACAATTGTAGCACACAAAAAAAAAAAAAACAGCAAAAAA